AACGGATGGGGGCAGTTCCAGCCTTTGGGATGAGCTGCAATCCCAAATGTGTGAGTGCAGGGTTTGGGATGAGCTGCAATCCCAAATGTGTGGGCTCAGCCTTTGGGATGAGCTGCAATCCCAAATGTGTGAGTGCAGGGTTTGGGATGAGCTGCAATCCCAAATGTGTGAGTGCAGGGTTTGGGATAAACTGCAATCCCAGCCCTGCAGGTGCGGCTTTTGGGATGAACTGCAATCCCAAAGCCAGGCAGTTGCAGGGTTTGGGATGAGCTGCAGTCCCAGCCCTGCGGGTGCAGCCTTTGGGATGCAGTCCCAGCCCTGCGGGTGCAGCCTTTGGGATGCAGTCCCAGCCCTGCGGGTGCAGCCTTTGGGATGCAGCCCCAGCCCTGCAGTTGCAGCCTTTGGGATGCAGCCCCAGCCCTGCGGGTGCAGCCTTTGGGATGCAGCCCCAGCCCTGCGGGTGCAGCCTTTGGGATGCAGTCCCAGCCCTGCAGTTGCAGCCTTTGGGATGCAGTCCCAGCCCTGCGGGTGCCGTTGCAGCGCAGGAAGTGCTGGACAACCTGAAGGATCGCTGGTACCAGGCGGACAATCCCCCCCCGGACCTGCTGCTGAGCGAGCAGGAGTTCCTGTCCTTCCTGCACCCCGAGCACAGCCGCGGCATGCTGCACTTCATGGTGCAGGAGATCGTCCGCGATCTAGGTAAGCTGGGATTCCCGGGAATTCTGTCCATGGATTCCCATTTTTATGTGGATTTTGGGAGGGAGCAGTCTGGTGGAGTTCCATGGATTCCATTTTTATGTGGGTATTTGGGGTGTGCTGCACTTCATGGTGCAGGAGATCATCCGCCATCTAGGTAAGCTGGGATTCCTGGGAATTCTGTCCATGGATTCCCATTTTTATGTGGATATTTGGGGTGTGCTGCACTTCATGGTGCAGGAGATCGTCCACCATCTAGGTAAGCTGGGATTTCCCAGGAATTTTCTCCATGGATTCTGGATTCCGTGGATTTTGGGAGGGTTCTACATGGAATAGTCAAGTGGAGTTCCATGGATGCCCACTGTATCCATGGATTCCCATTTTTATGTGGATATTTGGGGTGTGCTGCACTTCATGGTGCAGGAGATCGTCCATGATCTAGGTAAGCCGTGATTTCCTGGGAATTGTATCCATGGATTCCTGGTTTTTATGTGGATTTCGGGAGGGTTTTGCATGGAATAGTCTGGTGGAGTCCCATGCATTCCCATTTTTATGTGGGTATTGGGATGGGTTTGGTTTTTTCACAGATCAGTAAGAAATTCCCGTTTTTATGGGACTTAAATGAATACATGATAAATTTTTGTGTTTTTTTAAGGGGAATGAAGTGAACCTGTTATAACCTGTGTGTTTTCCCAGATCAGGACGGGGATAAGAAGCTGACCCTGTCAGAGTTCATCTCCCTGCCCGTGGGCACGGTGGAGAACCAGCAGGCTCAGGACATCGACGACGACTGGGTGAGGGACAGGAGGAAGGAGTTCCAGGAGGTCATCGACGCCAACCACGACGGCATCGTCACCATGGAGGAGCTGGAGGTGAATCCTCGTCCTTTTCCAGCCAGTTATTCCAAAACACGGCTTTGAAAACATCACAAATTCACTTACAGATCATTTTTTTAATTTAAAAAATGTTTATTTTGATTTGATTTTAATTTTGTGTTAATTGGGTTTTAATTTCGTGTTAATTTCATGTTATTTTTATTTTAAAATAGTCTGTGGCAACAGCCAAGAAAGCAGGAAAAATGAGTGAATTTAGGTCCTGAAAATTGATAATCCTTCATTTTTAACTGGAATTTGATCCCGAGTTTAATTTGCAGCCCAAATTCCACAAATGCTCCTTGGAATGAGCCGAAAAAATCCTGGATTTCTGTGGGAGCGGCCAAAGAAGCAGGAAAAAGGAGAGAATTTCTGTTCTGAAAATGAATTTTTAATTGGAGTTTGATCCTGAGTTTAATCTGCAGCCCGAATTCCAGAAATATTTCTTGGAATGAGCTGAAAAAAAATGGGGATTTCTGTGGGAACAGCCAAAGCAGGAAATACAAGAAAATTTAGGTCCTGCAAATAAATTTTTAACTGGAATTCAATCCTGACTTTAATTTGCAGCCCAAATTCCAGAAATATTCCTCGGAATGAGCAAAAATTCCAGATTTCTTTGGGAGCAGCCTAGAAACCAGGAAAAACAATAGAATTTACGTTCTGCAAATTGATAATCGTTGATTTTTAACTGGAATTTGATCCTGAGTTTAATTCACAGCCCAAATTCCACAAATATTTCACAGAATGACCAAAAAAATCCCCGATTTCTTTGGGAGCAGCCTAAAAACCAGGAAAAAAACCACCATGAAACCCTTCTTAAAGACCTTCACCCCACTTGGGGCTGGGGTGGGAGGTGGGATTTTTGGGAGCACAGCCAGGGCTGGTCTCAGGTGCTTTTTCCATGTTTTTTCCAGGAATACATGGATCCCATGAACGAGCACAACGCGCTGAACGAGGCGCGGCAGATGATCGCCGTGGCCGACGAGAACCAGAACCACCACCTGGAGCTGGAGGAGATCCTCAAGTACAGCGAGTACTTCACCGGCAGCAAACTCATGGACTACGCCCGCAACGTCCACGAGGAATTCTGAGCTTCCTCCCCCTTTTCCAGAACTTTCTGTTCTCCTCCCAACCCCCCCCCCAAAAAAAAAAAATCCCAGGGAAGAAGGATTCAGCCGAGCGGCGGGAATCGGTCGTCGCGGATTCTCGATTTTCCATCCGTCCCTGCGGGCTCCTTGGAGGGGTTTTTCCTGCTGGAAAAAAATGGTGGGAATTCCTGGATTCAGGTAGTTTTCCTCCTTGGTTTGGGGGGGTTGAAGCCAGCTGGAATTCTGGGTGGGGAGGATCCTGGAATATTCCCTGGTTTCCTTCAGCTGTTGATCCAGGGGATCCCAAATAAAGGTTGGATTTTGGGAAGGGAACGGTGATTCCAAGGAATGTTTGTCCTCCACACCCAATTCCATTGGGGAAATTCCTTAAATTTATTCCCTTGTTGCCCTCACAGCTGTTGATCCAGGGGATCTCAAATAAAGGTTGGATTTTGGGAATTTTGGTGGTTCCAAGGAATGTTTGATCTCCTGGGAATTGCCCTCACAGCTGTTGATCCAGGGGATCCCAAATAAAGGTTGGATTTTGGGAAGGGAACGGTGATTCCAAGGAATGTTTGTCCTCCACACCCAATTCCATTGGGGACGCTCCTTAAATATTTGTTTCCCTCAGCTGCTGATCCAGGGAATCCCAAATGAAGGTTGGATTTTGGGAATTTTGGTAGTTCCAAAGAATGTTTGTCCTCCTGGGAATATCCACACTCAATTCCAGTGTTTTTCTCAACTTCCTGAAGAGTTGTTGGGAATTTAATGGAATTTTTTCAGGGAGCTGTGGGAAAGAATTTATTTGAAATGTTACAGAAAAACTTTTTGGAATTAAATTTTTAAAAAACCAAATAACATTAATTAAGATTAAATTAATATAAAATGACATTGTTTTGTTGACATCTGCACTGGGAATGGGAGATCATGGTTTTAAAAATATCAGATTTCGGTCAAAAAACAAAAAATTGGGAAGTTTTTTTGGGAATTTTAAGCTATTGGACAGAGCAGTGGGAATTCCCATGGAGTTTGATGGCTGCTTAATTAATATTCACTGCTAAAATTAATGAGCTCTGTGTTAATTAATGCTGTTAATGAGCTGCTGATGATGATTTGGGGGAAATTCCAGGCTTTGGATGAGCTCTTTCCCAAATAAAATTGATTTTTCCCTCTGCTTACATCTTTCCTGGGAAAAACCCCTCTTTGGGAAAGAATTCCTGAAAATCTGAGATGTTTTATTTGATTAAATTTATTCTTAATATAATGTAAATACAGGAACTGCTGTCCCTCTTTCCCTTTTCCTGCTCTTTATTTGATGTTTTTATTAAATTCCTTGGATAAAAGGTTTTATATCCATTTTTTTTTCTTTGTTTTCCATTAAATATTTCTCTCCATGCTTTGGAAATTCTGCTGCTTTTAAGGTTTGTCGGGGCTGGAGGGGATAAGAGGAATAAATTCCATGGATAATCTCCGATAAAATGAGTTTAAACACAAAAATTCCAGTAAAATCAGCTGATAATTGTAATTTATCTATGAAGAGATTTTGCCAACACCATCCCAGTTTAATTTTGGGACAACACGAGCATTCAATCTCTGATTCCCAGTATTTTCTGGAGTCGGTGAAGGTAAAGCTGCAATTCCAGGCAGATGGAGCACCTAAAATTGAGAGCCTGGATTCCATTCTAATAGGCTGAAAAATGAAATTCCTTAATTACCACTATTTTGTGGATGCCACGGAGCTCTCCTAGAACTTAACTGAGCTCCTGGCTCCAACTCCAGCAGTCTGGAAAACGGAATTCCCGAATTCCCGCTATTTCCCCGCCTCAGCCAGGACATTCCCACAGCGCTCCTCCATACCTGCTTTTCCAGCCATTCCCACCGGGATTTCCCTCGCTTGAGGGCTCCTTTTACCCCTTAAACCCTTCTCAAGCTCAGCATTTCCTTTTCCTGCCGAAAAACCCCAAACCGGGAGCGGGAAGGGGCGTGGAGAAAAGCGGGAATTTCCCGCAAATGTCCCCGCCCGGAGTCGTTCCCGCTCTCGGGGCCCTCACAGCGCCCTGAGGGGAACGGCTCCATGAGGGGAAAGGAGCCGTGAGGGGAAAGGTGCCGTGAGGGGAAAGGCTCCGTGAGGGGAACGGCTCCGTGAGGGGAAAGGCGCCGTGAGGGGAACGGCTCCGTGAGGGGAAAGGAGCCGTGAGGGGAAAGGAGCCGTGAGGGGAACGGCTCCGTGAGGGGAACGGCTCCATGAGAGGAACGGCTCCATGAGAGGAACGGCGCCGTGAGGGGAAAGGCGCCGTGAGGGGAAAGTGCCGTGAGGGGAACGGCACCGTGAGGAGAACGGCTCCGTGAGGGGAAAGGCACCGTGAGGAGAGCGGCTCCGTGAGGGAAAAGGTGCCGTGAGGGAAGAAGCGCCGTGAGGGGAAAGGCGCCGTGAGGGGAACGGCTCCGTGAGGGAAAAGGTGCCCTGAGGGAGAAGGCGCCGTGAGGGGAAAGGCACTGTGAGGGGACGGACGGTGCCCTGAGGGAGCGGCTCCCTGAGGGGGAATGGCGCTTCCAAGGATTCCCTGGAATTTTCCCGCTCTGTGCTGGCTCCTGGCCGTGCCCATTCCCGGTTCCCTGGGCTTGGAATGCCAGGAGCACCAATACAGTTTCCGTGACAAATGCTGCAGCGACTGCGCCCCCGGTGAGTGCCCGCCGCCGGGGCTGGGGTGGGAGAACCGGGCTTTAGGGGTATATCGAATTTTTTCTTAGTGTAATACCTATTTTTAGTGTAATACTTTCTAGACTGATAAAAATAAGTTTTAGACCCAAAAAAATGGAAAAATCTTCCTTTTTGAGAGTGGTTTTTAACTTTTTTTGGATGTTTTTTTGCTTCCTAAATGGCTCAGTCCAGGGGCATTTCCTAAACGTTTTTACCTTACTCTGGAAGGGATATTTGGGATCCACTGGGACAAAAATTTGGGGCATTTTCTCCAATTTCAGCCCTCCCCAGCCCTTTTCAGCAGCTCCGTTAAATGTTGATTTTTCCTCCTGGCCAAACTTCCAGGGATTTTTCTTAACAAAAAAAATTCTGGGCACCATTTGATCCCAAAGGGAGAAATTTAGGATTTTTCCCCTCACGATCCCAGCCAGTCCCAATTTATTCCCAAGGTTAAAAATTAGGATTTTTTCCCCTCAGGACCCCACTGAATCCCAATTTTTGAGGAGTTTTTTAGGGGAGAGGATGTGGAGTCAGGCAACACTGTGCGCTCCCCAGGCCAGTGACAGACTTTGTTCCCAAAGGTTGAAATTTAGGATTTTTACCCTCAGGATCCTACTGAATGTCGATTTTTGGGGTGTTTTTAGGGGAGAGGATGCGGAGCCGCTGCACAGCCTCGGCTGACACCGTGTGCTCGCCGTGCCAGGATGGATATTTCAGCGACAGGCACCACCACGGCTTCTGCCACAGCTGCACCATCTGCAACACCCGTGAGTGCTGGGATTTAGGGGAAAAAAATCTCATTTTAGGGGGAAAAAATTCCCTTTTTTTGGGAAAAAAAATCCCATTTTTGAGGGGAAAAAAAAGCCTTTTTGCAGAAAAGAAAATTCCCAGGTTTGGGGCGTTGTGGGGGTAGGGGGAAAAAATCCCTTTTTGGGGATAGAATCCCTTTTGAAGGGAAAAATACCATTTTGATGAAAATAAAATCCCTTTTTGGAGGGGAAAATCACTTTTTTGGGGGAAAAAACCCTTTCCTGGGGCATTTTTGAGGGAAAAATCTCTCTCTATGCGGAGCCGCTGCACAGCCTCGGCTGACACCGTGTGCTCGCCGTGCCAGGATGGATATTTCAGCGACAGGCACCACCACGGCTTCTGCCACAGCTGCACCATCTGCAACACCCGTGAGTGCTGGGATTTGGGGGGAAAAAAATCTCGTTTTAGGGGGAAAAAATTCCCTTTTTTGGGGAAAAAAAAATCCTATTTTTGAGGGGAAAAAAAAAAGCCTTTTTGCAGAAAAAAAATTCCCAGGTTTGGGGCGTTGTGGGGGTAGGGGGAGAAAATCCCTTTTTGGGGATAGAATCCCTTTTGAAGGGAAAAATCCCATTTTGATGAAAATAAAATCCCTTTTTGGAGGGGAAAATCACTTTTTGGGGGAAAAAACCCTTTCCTGGGGCATTTTTGAGGGAAAAATCTCTCTCTGGGGGGCAAAAATCCCTTTTGAGGGGAGCAATCCCTTTTTGGGGGGAAAAGTCCCATTTTGGGATAAAAACTCCCTTATTTGAGGGGAAAAAAAATCCTTATTTTGGGGGGGAAAATCCCATTTTAGAGAAAAATCCCTTTTTGAGGGAATTTAGGAGGGAATAAAATCTCATTTTGGGTCTTTTTCTGGCTGCTCCCACCTCAGTTGTGAGGCCCTACCTGAAAATCACTGTCCTCAAACAAAATCATTGAACGATTCAGCTGTTAAATTAATTATTGATTACGAATCGTGAATTAATTGTTAAATTGCCGAATTCTGCAGCTCCTACACACAAAAACCCAAACCCCCGAGGAGTTAATTGTTGCTGTTAATGAAGGAATTAATGAATTTCTGCCCTGGCCAGGGAAGGGCAGCGTGGAGGTGAAGCCGTGCGAGAAAACCTCGGACAGGGTCTGCGCGTGCCAGGCGGGATTCCAGCCGGCCGGGGGGGCTCCTGTGGGAAGGGGTGAGTTGGGGTCTGGAATTCCCTTGGGAAGGGGGGAATGGGGTCTGGAATTCCCTTGGGAAGGGGTGAGTTGGGGTCTGGAATTCCCTGGGAAGGGGGGAATGGGGTCTGGAATTCCCTTGGGAAGGGGGGAATGGGGTCTGGAATTCCCTTGGGAAGGGGTGAGTTGGGGTCTGGAATTCCCTTGGGAAGGGGTGAGTTGGGGTCTGGAATTCCCTTGGGAAGGGGTGAGTTGGGGTCTGGAATTCCCTTGGGAAGGGGTGAGTTGGGGTCTGGAATTCCCTTGGAAAGGGGTGAATGGGGTCTGGAATTCCCTTGGGAAGGGGTGAGTTGAGGTCTGGAATTCCCTTGGGAAGGGGTGAATGGGGTCTGGAATTCCCTTGGGAAGGGGTGAGTTGGGATTGGGAATTCCCTTGGGAAGGGGGGAATGGGGTCTGGAATTCCCTTGGGAAGTAAGTGTTGGGATTTAGAATTCCCTTTGGAATAGTTGGGATTTGAGCCAGCCAGAATTCCCTTGGGAAGGGGTGAGTTGGGATTGGGAATTCCTTTGGGAAGCAGTGAGTTCAGGCATGTACCAGCTGGAATTCCCTTTGGAATTCTGAGATGTGCCAGCCTTCCCAAAGTCCTGCCTCCCATGTGGCAATTCCTGGCTGGAATTGTGGGATCCTCCCAGATAATATCCAGAATTAATAATCCTGGATAATCCAGAATTACCCAGTGCATAAATCTGGGCATTCTGCCACTTTCCTGGATAATTTCCATAATTGATAATCCCTGATAATTTCCATAATTACCCAGTGGATAAATCTGGGAATTCTGCCACTTCCCTGGATAATCCCTTTTCTCCCCAGAGTGCTCCCGATGTCCTGAAGGGACTTTCTCCAGAGGAGGGAACAAGAACTGCCAGCCTTGGACCAAGTACGAATCCTTTTTTGGGGAAAAAGATCCTTTTTTTGGGGGGAAAAAAATTCTTTTTGGGTGCAAAATGCTCAGAGCAGCTCTGGCAGGTTCATTTTTCCAAGCAAAGCCCAAATCCAGGGAAATAAATTGGAATAAGCCTGGATTTAACTGCCATGAATCCTGTCCTTTGGGATTTTTAGGATCCTGAAGGGATTTTTAGGATTTTCCACCTTTTTTTAAAACCTCTCAGATGTTTTTTTGGAAACAAAAAATTCCTGTGCCTGAATCAGCTGGGGAAAAAATCCCACATCGTTTTTTGCCAGCAATAACTTTGGGATAACACAGCATTCCTGTGGGATGTAGGGATAAAGTCCTAAATTTGTAGGGATAAAACACAGATTGGGATTGTGTGGATGGGATTTAGGAATGATTCCATGTTGGCAAACCCTCTGGAATTTCTTTTCCAGCTGCAGCAGTTTTGGGAAGAGCACGCTCCAGGCTGGCACGGGCACAGAGGATGCCCAGTGCAGCAGCAGCCCTGGCCCACATCCCTCTCCCACGGAATTCCCGGAAAACAGGGACCCCTTTCCCACGGAATTCCCAGAAAACAGGAGCCCCTTTCCCACGGAATTCCCTGAGAACAGCTCCAGAGCGTCCAGCCCCAGGGAGATCCCCGTGGTTTGTCGGGATCCCGGCGTTCCCGCGGAGCCTGGATGGGGTAAGGACGGGCAGGGAGTTCAGCTGGAGCTGCTTTCCTGGGAAGGGAATTCCCATTTTCTCAGAAGTTTTTTCTGTATTTCACAGAACATTCCAGGATCCCACATTTCCAGCTGGAATTGCTTTCCTGGGAAGGGAATTCCCATTTTCTCAGAAGTTTTTTCTGTATTTCACAGAACATTCCAGGATCCCACATTTCCAGCTGGAATTGCTTTCCTGGGAAGGGAATTCCCATTTTCTCAGAAGTTTTTTCTGTATTTCACAGAACATTCCAGGATCCCACATTTCCAGCTGGAATTGCTTTCCTGGGAAGGGAATTCCCATTTTCTCAGAAGTTTTTTCTGTATTTCACAGAACATTCCAGGATCCCACATTTCCAGCTGGAATTGCTTTCCTGGGAAGGGAATTCCCACTTCCTCTGAATTCTTTCCTGTGTTTTCACACAGCATTCCAGGATCCCACACTTCCCTGGCAGCTGGACCTCTCCATTCCCAGAGTTCTGGATTCTCCCTCTGGAATCTGGGAACTCCATCCAGAACCAGGAATCTTTGTTTTTTAGGGAATTTTTCCATTCTAATTCCAGGCTCTTTATCCCTGCTCCTCCTGTGCCTGATCCTGCTGATGGTGAGTGGAATTTCCATCCTGCTCCTGATCATCCAAGCAGCCCAGAAAAAAAACAGGAATGGGCCTGGGAGGAGCACCCAGCACAGTGAGTTCCCTTTTTTATGGGGTAAAAAATCCAGGGAAAAAATAATCCAGTGAGTTCCCTTTTTTATGGGATTAAAAAAACAGGACAAACCTTCATCAGGGCCCCCTGTTAGAAATTTGAGAATTAATAGAAGAATTATTAATTAGGAAATGCAGGGAATTCCAGAGGTTAGGATTAGGAGCTGATTAGGAGCTCAGTATCCCAAATTTTCATTCCTTCTCCCTGATTTTCCCTTCAGCCCAGAATTCCCTGGTTTTAGGCCAGGAATTCTCTTCCTGGCAGGATCCAGAAGCAAATTCCAAGAGTAAAATGGGATTTTTTTTTGCCTTCATGGAAATTGAAATGTCCTGAATTCTCCTGCAAACTTGGGAAAGGTCCAGCTGGGAAGAGCTGAGCTCTAAAATCGGGATTAAGTAGCAAAACTGAGCCTAGAACCAGGATCAAGTGGCAGAACTGAGCTCTGGGATCAGGATCAAGTGGCAGAACAGCCTAGAACCAGGATCAAGTGGCCGCTGCCTCCCGTTCCATGGCCGGGCCCTGCGTTTGGCATTCCTGGATTGCTGCCAGGCCAAGGAGTGACCCCAAATCCCACCAGAACAGAGAGATTCCTGCTCCCCCAGGCACTGACTCCTGGAACATTCCCTGTTTTCCTGGACCATTGCCTTTTTTTCCTGGACCATTCCCTGTTTTCCTGGACCACTCCCTGTTTTCCTAGAACCATTCCCTGTTTTCCTGGACCATTCCCTGTTTTCCTGGACCATTCCCTGTGTTCCTAGAGCCATTCCCTGTTTTCCAGAGGAGAGGAGCTGCCGGATCCCCATCCAGGAGGAGCAGATCGATTCCAATTCCAGCCTCATCAAAAACTGACCCCACCTTGGGCTGCTCCCGTGGAGCTGAGGGAGCACTGGGACTAATTAGGGCTGGCTTTGCTTAATTAGCACTTAATTAGAGGCTCTTTGGAATTTGGGAGAATTCCTGAGGGAATTTTGTGTGGATTTTTTTCCTTTGGGCAAATCCTTGAGCTCTAAAACCAGGATCAAGTGGCAGAGCTGAGCTCTAAAACCAGGATTAAGTCGAACTCAATCCGCACTTCATTAAATCAATTTTCCTTCTCTAATTGCTTTTCCACAAATTCGGAAAGGAAATTTTTTGGGAGCAAATCCCAAACTCTGGAATGTGTGGGAGGAGCCCGAGGTGTCCTTTTGCTGAATTTGAAATATTTCCGTGGAAATTCCAGAAAAAAAATTGATTTTTTTGTCATCCTGGAGTGATTTTCCCTCCAAATATCAGCAGAAAACTCCTAAAAAAAAATGGGAATTTTAAACCCATATCCCAAAAAATCCAGCAGGGAATGGATGCAGGGATCCAAGAGGTCTTGAAATCCCTGGATTTGGGATTTTTTATATGTTATACATATCCAAAGGGGTTTATACAGTGTATAGGAACGTTTGTATTGTGTACAAAGGGGGTTTGGGGGAATAAACTCGGAAAAACAGATCCTGGTGTGTGTTTGGGAAAAATGGGAAAATCCCAGGGAGACAGGACAGCCTGGGAACGGGGGAGGGGTTGAGGGAAGGGCTGGGATGGAAATCCACCGGGAAAACGGCAAATGAGCACATTCCCGAGGGGAAAATCCCATTTTCATTGGAAAAATGATAAATAATCACATTCCTGAGGGAAACACCCCATTTTCCCAGGATAATTAACCCTTCAGCTTCCACATAAACCCCACATTTCTCCAATTTTGGATAAAACCTGAACCAAACCTACCAACATTTCAACTCCCTTAAAAAAAAACCCAAATAAATTCAATTTTCCCTTCTTTCCAAACCCTCCCATGCACAAATTGAACATTTCCCTTAATTCCTAATTAATTTTTAATTAAGCAGCAGCAATAATTGGATCAGAAATGATTTCAGCTTCACTTCCTGCTTGGTGGTTTTGCCTCTTTTGGGTCTCCCCGGTGACGATTTTCCGTCGCCGTTATCTCCAGATTTTTTTTTTTCTCCTGAATTTGATTTTGACTCAATTTTGCCACCAGAGATGGAAAAAAAACTTCAAAAAAATTTGGGGTTTTTCTTTTGGGTCTCCCCGGTGACGATTTTCCGTCGCCGTTATCTCCAGATTTTTTTTTTTCTCCTGAATTTGATTTTGACTCAATTTTGCCACCAGAGATGGAAAAAAAACTTCAAAAAAACTTGGGGTTTTTCCAGGAGTTTTTGGAGGTTTTTTTAATTTTTTTCTGATTTTTCCCAGGCTTTTTCTGCTTTTTCTGGATTTTTCCTGATTTTTCTTTTTATTTTTTTTCAGGTTTTTCAAGTTTTTTTCCCAGGTTTTTTTTTCCCATTTTTTTTTTTTTTCTGATTTTTTTTCTGGGTTTTCCCTCTGTCTAAGTTGGTTTCCCTTTGGGAATATCAAATTTTTTAGGATTTTCCTCATGGACACACCAAATTTGGAAGCAAAAAAGGGGAATTTTCCCTGGATAATAATCACAATCCTGAGGGGAAAAAAATCCCATTTTCCCCTGGATAATAATTGCATACTTGAGGGAAAAAATCCCATTTTTCCTTAGATAAGAACTGTACTCCATATGGGAAAAAAATCCCATTTTCCCCTGGATAATAAATGTATTTTGAGGGGAAAAAAATCTGGTTTTCCCTGGATAATAATTTTATTTTGAGGGGAGAAAAATCCCATTTTCCCCTGGATAATAATTGTATTTTGAGGGGGAAAAAAATCCCATTTTCCCCGGGATAATAATTTTATTTTGAGGGGAAAAAATCCATTTTTCCAGAGCCTCCCTGGCAGCAATTCCCTCCTTTCCCAACCCTTTCCATGGAAATTTCCTGCTCAGGAATTCTCCAGCGCTTCCCTCTCCCTCAGCTGCTCAGTCCTCTCGGTGGGGTGACAGACGCCTCCATGCCATGGGTAACATCCCCTTTGGGTCCGGCCTAAAGGGTTTTAAGCCCAGCCTAAGGCTCATTTATTTCCCCCAGAGCCCGGGGAACTTCCCTCCAAAAAAATCCTGGGAACCTCCACCGGATTATTCCACAACGTGGGAATGGAAATCCCACCCTGTGGGGTGAAAATCATTTCAAAGCTCGGCCTTGCTGGACTTAAGCCGGGCCTAACCACTCTGAAATTCTCCTGTGAGCGATTTTTCAGGGCAGGATGAGCTCATGGTTTCTCTTCTCCCCTAATCAGCAAAAAATCAGCGCCAGGAAACCAAACCCGCGGCGGAGAACGTTCCGGTGCTGCTGACGTGAGCTCCCGGGCTGGTTTCCTTCTTTTTGGGCTGCTTTCCTGCTTTTTGGGCTGCTTTTCTTTTTTGGTTTAGGGCAGTTTTCTGTGTTTTGGGCTGGTTTCCTTTGTTTTGGGGTCGTTTCTTTTCACTTTCTCCCAAATCCCGTCGTTTGGGCGGAGAGCAGGCTGCAGGAGAAGGGGGAGATGTAGGCACAGGAGAATTCCCAGGAATTCTTGGGGCTGGAAAAGCGCTGCAGGGTCAGAGTGATCCTCACCCTGAGTGCCACATCCAGGAATTCCTCCAGGAATGGGAATTCTGCCCTTTTCCCAAGGCCTGATTCCCTTTTCCATGGGGAAATCCCAACCCAAATTCCCCCGGCACAATTTTTGGCCGTTTCTCCTCGTTCTGTCTGTGACTGATCCCTGAGTGCCACATCCAGCAGTTCCTTGGAAACCTCCAGGAATGGGAATTCTGCCCTTTTTCTTCCATTTCCATGAGGAAATCCCAATCCCTGACACAATTTGAGGTCATTTCTCCTCATCCTATCCCAAAACCCATCTGACTCCAACCCCAAATTCCTCGAAAACCCTCTGGGATGTGCCTGTGGGTGAGAACATTCCCATGTTCTCATGGACACAGCTCCAGGAATCCATGGATTTCTCCCCAAATCCCATCCTTGGGGCTTTGGGAACCCCAGGGTGTGGGAAAGGGATTCAGGCTGGGACATTTTTCCCTCTTTTCCATCCTGCTTTGGAATTTAGGGTTGGAATCTTCCCTGATCCCCAGGTGAATTTTTTCCCAGGGGAAGGCAGGGCTGTGGTCAGGGGGTTTTTTTGGGAAGGATTCTGGGGTTTTAATGGATTTGGGGTTTCTGGGAATGTGTGATTTCTTGGGATTTTCCTCATGGAGTCACCAAATTTGGAAGCAAGAAAGGAGAATTTTCCCCAGGGGAAGGCAGGGATGTGAACAGTTGGGTTTGGGGAAGGATCCTGGGATTTTGATGGATTTCACCCCAGGTTTCCCTCTGGGAATGTCAGATTTTTTTGGGATTTTCCTTGTGGAGCCCCCACTTTTGCCCAAAAAGAGAAATTTTCCATAGGGGAATGCAGGGTGAGATTTTGGGAAAGATTTTTGGGGGTTTTGATGGATTTGGGGTGAGGATTTCACTCCAGCTTTCTGGCAGTGTCAGATTTTTAGGATTTTCCCTGTGGAGTCCCCAAATTTGCAGCCCAAAGAGGGGAACCTTTCCATGCAGTGTGCTGAGTGAGTTTTTAGGAAGGATCCAGGGATTTTCATGGATTTGGGGTGAGGATTTCACTCCAGCTTTCTGGCAATGTCAGATTTTTTAGGATTTTCCCTGTGGAGTCCCCAAATTTGCAGCCCAAAGAGGGGAACCTTTCCATGGGAGTGTGATGAGTGAGTTTTTGGGGTGAGGATTTCACTCCAGCTTTCTGGCAGTGTCAGATTTTTAGGATTTTCCCTGTGAAGTCCCCAAATTTGCAGCCCAAAGAGGGGAACCTTTCGGCAGAAGGAGTTTTTCTGGGGAGGGAAGCGAGCCGTGCGCGTGGGGCCCGAGCAGGGCCAGGATGGAGGGGAAATGTCAGCAGCCAGAGGTGGAGCTGCCGAGAAAACCCCGCAGCCGAGGCAGGGAGATGTTCACGCTGATAAATCCGATCATCAATCCGATAAATCCGATAAATCCGAAAGGTCAGCGCTGCCTCCGGGCCCCGGGAGCGGCTCTGCCCTCGGACGTGAGCGGAAAGTTCCGTCACCTGACGGGGCCGGGTGCCTCAAAGGGCAACACCAGACAAAGAGCAGGAAAAAATCCCCGAGGGGTTTTAGAAAAAAGAGAAATAGAGAAATAAAGAAAGAAATTGGAGTTTTTGCCGTGAGAAACGGCAGCTGGGAGGGGCAGGGGGCACCGGGGGGTGGGGTTGGGAAGGTTGGGATGGGAAAGAGGGAAAGGTTGGGATGGGAAAGAGGGAAAGATGGGATGGGTTTAGGGAAAGGTTGAGATGGGAAAAGGTTGGGGTGGGTTTAGGGAAAGGTTGGGATGGGAAAGAGGGAAAGGTTGGGGTGGGTTTTAAGGAAAGGTTGGGATGGGTTTTAGGAAAAGGTTGGGGTGGGTTTAGGGAAAGGTTGGGATGGGAAAGAGGGAAAGGTTGGGATGGGTTTTAAGGAAAGGTTGGGATGGGGTTTAGGGGAAGGTTGGGGTGGGTTTTAGGGGAAGGTTGGCATGAGGTTTAGGGAAAGGCTGGGAGGGATTTTAGGGAAAGAGGATGATCGGGATGGGTTTTAGGGAAAGTTGGGATGGATTTTAGGGATGGATGGATCCATGGATGGAATTCCCAGGGAATTTCTGGCCGCCCCATCCCTGCAGTGCCCGGGGCCAGCAGGAGATCTCTGCAATGAGCTGATTTCCCCCTCCCTCCCAGCCCACCATTCCCAAATTTCACCCCTTTAACCCTCCATGACCCCAACCCCCTTCTTTTTTTGGGGGTGGGCCACCCCTTTCCCTGCCCCCACCTCTGCTGTCTGAACCCAAACCTTCTCCCCGCCCCCCCAAAAAACAGGAAGAGCTCGGCCACAAAAACCCCGGCGCCTCCTCCGCGGCGGTGACAGGGACCTGGTGACACTGCGGGGTGGCACTGCCGGGGTGGCACTGCCGGGTGGCACTGCCGGGTGGCATTGCTGGGGTGGCACTGCCGGGGTGACACTGCCGGGGTGGCATTGCTGGGGTGGCACTGCTGGGGTGACACTGCCGGGTGGCCCTGCCGGGTGACACTGCTGGGTGGCACTGCTGGGTGGCACTGCCGGGTGACACTGCGGGGTGACACTGCGGGGTGGCACTGCCGGGACATGGCCGGGGCCCGGCTGTGGCTGCTGCTGGCACTGCTGGCCGGGCACGGGGCACGGCCGGGCCGGGCTGGGCAGTGCCAGGATGGGGAGCTCAGGACGGTCTGGGAAGGTGGCACCAAGTGCTGCCCCAAGTGCACCTGGATGGGAGGTGAGTGGGGGAATGGGGGGTGAGAATGGGGGGAAATGGGGGGAATTGGGGGGAAATTGTGTGTAAATGGGGGGAATTGTGTGTAAATAATGTGTAAATTGTGGGGAAATGGGGGTAAATGGGGAGAATGGTGTGTAAATGTGTAAATTGTGTGTAAATGGTAAATGGGGGGAATTGTGTGTAAATAATGTGTAAATTGTGTGTAAATGGGGGTGAATTGTGTGTAAATGGGGAGAATGTGTGTAAATTTTGTGTAAATGGGGGTAAATTGTGTGTAAATGGGGGTAAATGGGAGAAATTATGTGTAAATGGGATAAATTGTGTGTAAATGGGGGTAATTGTATGTAAATGGGGGTGAATAGTGTGTAAAGGGGGTAATTGTGTGTGAATTGCTTGTAAATGGGGGTAAATTGTGGGGTAATTGTGTGTAACGGGTCTGAATGGGGGTGAATTGTGTGGAAATGGGTGTAAATTGTGTGTAAATTGTGTGTAAATGGTGTGTAAATCGTGTGTAAATGGGGGTAATTGTGTGTAAATTGTGTGTGAATGGGGGTAAATTGTGGGGTAATTGTGTGTAACGGGTCTGAATGGGGGTGAATTGTGTGGAAATCGTGTGTAAATCACGGGTAAATGGGAGTGAATTGTGTCTCTCATTCCCTGGGATGGGGGGACAATTTTTGGGATCCCTTTTCCCAGGAAAAGTCTCTTCTTCCCTGGGAATATGAAGGACAATTTTTGGGATCCCGTTGCTCCAGACCCTTCCCCGTCTCTGGGTGTGTAAATTGTGTGTGAATGGGGGTAAATTGTGGGGTAGTTGTGTGTAACGGGTCTGAATGGGGGTGAATTGTGTGGAAATCGTGTGTAAATCACGGGTAAATGGGAGTGAATTGTGTCTCTCATTCCCTGGGATGGGGGGACAATTTTTGGGATCCCTTTTCCCAGGAAAAGTCTCTTCTTCCCTGGGAATATGAAGGACAATTTTTGGGATCCCGTTGCTCCAGACCCTTCCCCGTCTCTGGAAGCGCTGCCTCCCCCTCTCCCTTTTCCCGCGGGAACTGGAATTCCTTTGTGATGGGAATCCCTTGGGAATGGGAATGTGGTGGGAATAGCGGCATTAACCCCTTCCCTGCCGCAGGAAGCCCCGCGCCCTGCCAGGCGGCGCAGGACCACGACTGCAAATGTCCCCAGGGCCACAGCTGCTCCGACAAGCAGTGCCAGTTCTGCATGAAACTGCCCCAGTGCCAGCCCGGCTGGGAGCTCAGCAGGATCGGTAACGGGGCTGGGAACGGGGCTGGGAACGGGAATGGGAATGGGAGTGGGACGGGGAATGGGGATGGGAATGGGACGGGGAATGGGAATGGGGCAGGGAAAGGGAATAGGGCAGGGAATGGGGCAGGGAATGGGACTGGCCCTGGCTGTGCTCTGCTGGCTGTCCTGAATTTGGGATCTCAGCCATTCCCATCCTTTTCCCAGCAGGAGGTGTGAATTTCCGGTTTCAGTGCAAGCCCTGTGAGAACGGCTCCTACTCCAGCAGCAGGAACAGCTGGTGCCGCAACTGGACTGAGTATGGAGCAGTGATCAATAACCAATAATTCAGAGTTATTGCTAGGAATGGGTTTCATTCTCTGAAAATAGAAATAATAATATTAACAATGAGAATAAGAATGGACTGAATATGGGTTTATTGATATTCCCCTTATTTGGGAAAAAAAATAGGCTGGGTTTTTTTCCCCACTTTGAAATTAGGGAATAACAATAAGAAGAATGTAATAATAATAGTAATGATAGTAATAGTAATAATAATATAATATCAATTCATATTGAAATATCAATGAAGATATTCAATACTGCCATCAGAAAATCAAATTGAATCCAAGATGGTGATCATGTGATTATTGATGAATTTTTTAATTAAGCGAGACGTGGCATTTCTCTTCTTAGTCTCAGGCAGAGCTTAAGCCAAACTCGCAGTTTAAAATCAAAATTTAGATGCTGGAAAAAATATCCCCAACAGGGAAATCCATGGAAAAACAAACGGGGACGTTTGGGGAAGAGCCCAAATCTCCCCGGCGCTGCCCCAAGAGGGGCAGAACCTGGGGAGGGGAGGAAGAGAGGGGGGCAGGAAATGGGGAATACCCGGGATACCGAATTCCCGGGGGGCAGGAAATGGGGAATACCCGGGATACCGAATTCCCGGGAGGCAGGAAATGGGGAATACCCGGGATACCGAATTCCCGGGGGGCAGGAAATGCGTCATACCCCGGATGCCGAATTCCCGGGAGGCAGGAACTGGGGAATACCCGGGATGCCGAATTCCCGGGGGGGGCAGGAAATGGGGAATACCCGGGATACCGAATTCCCGGGAGGCAGGAACTGGGGAATACCCGGGATGCCGAATTCCCGGGAGGCAGGAAATGGGGAATACCCGGGATACCGAATTCCCGGGGGGCAGGAAATGGGGAATACCCGGGATGCCGAATTCCCGGGATGCCGAATTCCCGTCCTTTGTCCTTCGCAGCTGCGAGAGCAGCGGCTTCGTCACCCTGCGGGAGGGGAACAGCACCCACAACTCCGTGTGCAGCCTGCCCGTCCGAGCCCTGGAGCCAGGTACCCCAGAGCCCGGGAATTCCCTTCTCCCGCTGTCCCACTGCTTCCCAGCCCGGAAATCCTCCTGGGAAAGCGGTGCTGCCCGGGAAAACATTGCTCCTGTCTTCTCTTTCTCCTTTTTTTGTTTATTCTTCCTTTGCTTCTTCCCTTTCCCATTTCCTCTTCTCTTCCCTCTTTTCCTTCTCCTCTTTCTCTTCCATCTTTCCTTTCCTCTTCCTCATCCCATTTCCTCTTTCCTTTTCTTCTTCCCTCTCTTTTCCTTCTCCTTCTTCTATTTTCATTTCCTTCCCTGCTCCATTTCTTTTCCTTTTCCCTTTTTCCCTTTTCCCCTATTTCCATCCCATTCCACAATTCCCTCACCTCAGATCCTCTCCCACCTTCCCTCTTTCCCACAAAACCCCAAAATCAATCCCTACACTCCCTTGGAACATCTCCCTCCCCTGGAACAAACCCTAGCTCCGGAATTCCTTAATTTTTAATGAAAGCCCGTTAATTGCAGCCCGGGTTGCTCTGGAATTCCCCTCCAGCACCATCCTGGCCATCCTGGTGGCCGTGGCCCTGTTCGTGCTCATCCTGCTGACATTCCTGCTGCACTTCTGCATCTGGAGCCTCCGCAGGGACAGCAAGCTGCTGCCCGGGGGTGAGGAATGGGGGACAAAACCTGGGAATAAATGGGATAGAACCTGGGAATAAATGGGATAAAACCTGGGAATGGGGGGGACAAAACCTGGGAATGGGAAGGATGAAACCTGGGAATGGGGGGAATAAAACCTGGGAATAAATGGGATAAAAAGCTGGGAATGGGAGGGATAAAACATGGGAATGGGGGGGATAAAACCTGGGAATGGGAGGGATAAAACCTGGGAATAAATGGGATAAAAACCTGGGAATAAATGGGATAAAACCTGGGAATGGGGGGGACAAAAACCTGGAATGGAGGGAAAAACCTGGGAATAAATGGGATAAAAAGCTGGGAATGGGAGGGATAAAACATGGGAATGGGGGGGATAAAACCTGGGAATGGGAGGGATAAAACCTGGGAATAAATGGGATAAAAACCTGGGAATAAATGGGATAAAACCTGGGAATGGGGGGGGACAAAACCTGGGAATGGAGGGATAAAATCTGGAGTTGAATGGGATAAAAAATGGGAATGGATGGGATAAAAAATGGGAATGGATGGGATAAAAAATGGGAATGGATGGGATAAAATCTGAATGGGATAAAAGCATGGAATCAGTGGGTTAAAATCTGGGATTTCCTCTGGGATTTGGGGCAGGTTCCCAGAATCATCCAGGGCAGCCTTCCTGGCACGGGGGGCAGCGTGTGACGGGATTTTGGGATGCAATTCCCGGACTGGGTTTCCCAGAGAGGCTCTGGCTGCCCCTGGATCCCTGGAATTGTCCTTGTAGCCCCCTGGGACAGCGGGAAATCTCCCTGCCCACGGATGGGGCCACACTGGCTCATCCCAAAATCCCTCCTAAGCCATCCCATCACCCCAGGCAGCCCTGGCCGCACGAGCCGGGCCGTTCCTGGCATTCCCGCTGAGTTTTCCCCGTTCCCAGCCGCAGATTCCCTCCCCACCTTCCCGCGGCTGCCGCGGCTCCCGCAGCGCCCGCTCCAGGGGGAGGAATCCTACAGCATCCAATTCCCGGAGGAGGAGCACGGCGACAAGAGCGAGGATAAGCTTTCCGTGCTGTCCCTCAAGGCGTACGGCGAGCTCCGCTAGCGGGACCCGCACCGGGAACGCGGGGCTGGGCTGCGCTTCCCAAAATCCCAGCCCGGCCCCGGGGGATGGGAGCCGGCCGGGGCTGCTCCCTGGGGAGAGGAGCGCGCTCAGGGCGAGCTTGGGCTTGTTTGTCCCCTAAAAAAAGCTGGAATTTAGGGATAGATCCTGCTGGGGTTGGTTCAGGAGGAGAGGAGATTTCTCAGGATATGCTGATTTCCAGGAGTGGGAATTGTGGCCACATCTCCTGCTTTTCCCACATCTGCTTTTCCCACATCATCTCCTGCTTTTCCCATATTATCTCCTGCTTTTCCCCATCATCTCCTGCTTTTCCCACATCTGCTTTTCCCACATCATCTCCTGCTTTTTCCACATCATCTTCTGCTTTTCTCATCTCATCTTCTTCTTTTCCCACATCATCTCCTGCTTTTCCCACATCTGCTTTTCCCACATCTGCTTTTCCCACATCATCTCCTGCTTTTCCCACATCATCTCCTGCTTTTCCCACATCATCTCCTGCTTTTCCCCATCATCTCCTGCTTTTCCCACATCTGTTTTTCCTCCATATCCTGCTTTTCCCCATCATCTCCCTGCTTTTCCCACATCTTCTCCTGCTTTTCCCATATCTGCTTTTCCCCATCTCCTGCTCTTCCCTGGCTTTTCCAGCACTGCCCCAGTTGGGTCATTCCCAACCCCATTCCAGCCTCTCCTGACCCCATTCCTGCTCCCACCCCACGATTCCCTTGGGAAGCTCCTCCTGTGCCACCAGGGATTTCCCTGTGCTGGTTCTTCCAAGGAAAATCAGGAAAAAAAGGGAGTGAAGCTCATCCAGGGACTGGTCAGAGCTCTGGAAAAATGGAGGGAATGGGAAAAAAATCCTGGCAAACTCTCTCAGGTGGGGTTTGGGGATTTCTGATCCCTGTGGGGTCCTTCCCACTTAGGATATTCCAAGATTTTTGATGTAATTCCAGCAGCTTTGGGAAGTTTTTTTGGGCTGACTCCCTGTGGAGATGCCAGTGCCAAGATCTGTGTTGATAATTATGGGTAATTAATTAGGGATAATCCAGGACGAGTTTCTCCTGGAAGTCGTGGATTCTCAGTGGAAATCCATGGAAATTTCCAGGATTTCAGAGGAATTCCACATGGATTTAAACCTGTGCTGGATGATCCCTGGATTTTGGGCTGGGAGCTCTGGGAATGTTCCCCTGGAGAAGGATTGGGATGAGGGATGGAGGGACAGGACACTGGGAATGGAAAAGGATTGGAAATCTGGGAAAAATCCTTCCCTGGGAGATTCCAGAGGCTCCTGGGGAGTTCCAGCAGTTTCCCTGGATTTGGGGTCACAGCCAGGAATTCCTGCAGGAACAGAGACCCCCAAAGCTGCTCTGGGAAGTTTCTGATTCCCTGGGAAAATTTGGGAAATTCCAAAGAAAAATTCATTTGAACCAAGCTTTTTTCTTTTGGGGTTTTTATTTAATTTGGGTTTCAACTCCGGCCTCGTTCCCAAAATAATCCTGAGGAATCCCAGCCTCCTCCTCCCCTCTGGAATTTTATCCCAATCCTGGAGAGAACAGAGCCTTGGGCTCACAGGAAAACCTGGAAAACGCTCTCAGGAAAGGAAAAAAAAAGGAGAAAAAAAATTCCCTTTTTTTGGGGAATCAAAATTCCTCTCTCCAGGAGCAGAGATCCGGATCCGGGAATGGGAAAACATCCCAAAAAAAGCCACGGAATTCCACCCAAAACCCGGCTTTGCTTCCCCTTTCCCAACCCTGTGGCAGCAGAGGGAGCTCTGGAGAGGAAATTCCAGAGGGAATTCAACATTCCCTGGAGAATTCCCTGGAGAAATCCCAAAGTTTGGAGCACAAAGGCACCGCTGCCTTCCTGCCCGGGGTGAGGAAATCGGGAATTGTTTCCCTTTTATCGCCCTGGAACAGCCCGGACCTGTTCCTGCAATCCCTGAAAATGGAATTTTGTCAGGAATTCTTCCGCTCAAGGGGATTTTTCCAAGACCAAAGTGCCTGAAATGCCTCAAATTAATAGGAAAATTCATTAATTTTGATTAAGTCAAGGATTTGGGGGCTTTGTTCTGCAATTTTACCATGAAAAAAATGACAATAATCTCCCAAATGAATCCCAGCTGTGAAATTCCAGGAATTCTTCCTCTCAAGGGAGTTTTTCCTGGGATTTGCGCCCTGCTGAAAGCGCCTAAAATGATATAAAAATTCATTGATTCTTCTGATAAAAACGAGATTTTTGGGGCTTTTCTCCACATTTTTGCTACGGAAAAAGTGCTTAAACCCCCAAAAACGAATCCCAGCTGTGAAATTCCAAGAATTCTTCCTGGAATTTTGTCCTGCTGAAAGCACTTAAAATTACATAAAAATTCATTGATTTTTCTGATAAAAATGCGGGTTTTTTTGGCTTTTCTCCACATTTTTGCCATGCAAAAAGTGCTTAAACCCCCAAGACCGAATTCCAGCTGTGAAATTCCAGGAATTCTCCCTCTCAAGGGAGTTTTTCCTGGGATTTGCGCCCTGCTGAAAGCGCCTAAAATGATATAAAAATTCATTGATTCTTCTGATAAAAACGAGATTTTTGGGGCTTTTCTCCACATTTTTGCTACGGAAAAAGTGCTTAAAACCCCAAAACAGAATTCCAGCTGTGAAATTCCAGGAATTCTTCCTCTCAAGGGAGTTTTTCCTGGGATTTGCGCCCTGCTGAAAGCGCCTAAAATGATATAAAAATTCATTGATTCTTCTGATAAAAACGAGATTTTTGGGGCTTTTCTCCCCATTTTTGCTACGGAAAAAGTGCTTAAAACCCCAAAACAGAATTCCAGCTGTGAAATTCCAGGAATTCTTCTGGGATTTTGTCCTGCTGAAAGCGCCTAAAATGATATAAAAATTCATTGATTCTTCTGATAAAAATGCGATTTTTTTGGGCTTTTCTCCACATTTTTGCCATGAAAAATCTTGGGATTTTTGCTCTGCTGAAAGCGCCTAAAATGATATAAAAATTCATTGATTCTTCTGATAAAAATGCGATTTTTTTTTTTGCTTTTCTCCACATTTTTGCTACGGAAAAAGTGCTTAAAACCCCAAAACAGAATTCCAGCTGTGAAATTCCAGGAATTCTTCTGGGATTTTGTTTCTCCACATTTTTGCTACGGAAAAAGTGCTTAAACCCCCAAAAACGAATCCCAGCTGTGAAATTTCAGGAATTCTTCCTGGAATTTTGTCCAGCACTGCCCCAGTTGGGTCATTCCCAACCCCATTCCAGCCTCTCCTGACCCCATTCCTGCTCCCACCCCACGATTCCCTTGGGAAGCTCCTCCTGTGCCACCAGGGATTTCCCTGTGCCGGTTCTTCCAAGGAAAATCAGGAAAAAAAGGGAGTGAAGCTCATCCAGGGACTGGTCAGAGCTCTGGAAAAATGGAGGGAATGGGAAAAAAATCCTGGCAAACTCTCTCAGGTGGGGTTTGGGGATTTCTGATCCCTGTGGGGTCCTTCCCACTTAGGATATTCCAAGATTTTTGATGTAATTCCAGCAGCTTTGGGAAGTTTTTTTGGGCTGACTCCCTGTGGAGATGCCAGTGCCAAGATCTGTGTTGATAATTATGGGTAATTAATTAGGGATAATCCAGGACGAGTTTCTCCTGGAAGTCGTGGATTCTCAGTGGAAATCCATGGAAATTTCCAGGATTTCAGAGGAATTCCACATGGATTTAAACCTGTGCTGGATGATCCCTGGATTTTGGGCTGGGAGCTCTGGGAATGTTCCCCTGGAGAAGGATTGGGACGAGGGATGGAGGGACAGGACACTGGGAATGGAAAAGGATTGGAAATCTGGGAAAAATCCTTCCCTGGGAGATTCCAGAGGCTCCTGGGGAGTTCCAGCAGTTTCCCTGGATTTGGGGTCACAGCCAGGAATTCCTGCAGGAACAGAGACCCCCAAAGCTGCTCTGGGAAGTTTCTGATTCCCTGGGAAAATTTGGGAAATTCCAAAGAAAAATTCATTTGAACCAAGCTTTTTTCTTTTGGGGTTTTTATTTAATTTGGGTTTCAACTCCGGCCTCGTTCCCAAAATAATCCTGAGGAATCCCAGCCTCCTCCTCCCCTCTGGAATTTTATCCCAATCCTGGAGAGAACAGAGCCTTGGGCTCACAGGAAAACCTGGAAAACGCTCTCAGGAAAGGAAAAAAAAAGGAGAAAAAAAATTCCCTTTTTTTGGGGAATCAAAATTCCTCTCTCCAGGAGCAGAGATCCGGATCCGGGAATGGGAAAACATCCCAAAAAAAGCCACGGAATTCCACCCAAAACCCGGCTTTGCTTCCCCTTTCCCAACCCTGTGGCAGCAGAGGGAGCTCTGGAGAGGAAATTCCAGAGGGAATTCAACATTCCCTGGAGAATTCCCTGGAGAAATCCCAAAGTTTGGAGCACAAAGGCACCGCTGCCTTCCTGCCCGGGGTGAGGAAATCGGGAATTGTTTCCCTTTTATCCCCCTGGAACAGCCCGGATCTGTTCCTGCAATCCCTGAAAATGGAATTTTGTCAGGAATTCTTCCGCTCAAGGGGATTTTTCCAAGACCAAAGTGCCTGAAATGCCTCAAATTAATAGGAAAATTCATTAATTTTGATTAAGTCAAGGATTTGGGGGCTTTGTTCTGCAATTTTACCATGAAAAAAATGACAATAATCTCCCAAATGAATCCCAGCTGTGAAATTCCAGGAATTCTTCCTCTCAAGGGAGTTTTTCCTGGGATTTGTGCCCTGCTGAAAGCGCCTAAAATGATATAAAAATTCATTGATTCTTCTGATAAAAACGAGATTTTTGGGGCTTTTCTCCACATTTTTGCTACGGAAAAAGTGCTTAAACCCCCAAAAACGAATCCCAGCTGTGAAATTTCAGGAATTCTTCCTGGAATTTTGTCCTGCTGAAAGCACTTAAAATTACATAAAAATTCATTCATTCTTCTGATAAAAACGAGATTTTTTTTTGGCTTTTCTCCACATTTTTGCTATGAAAAAGTGCTTAAACCCCCAAAATTGAATTCCAGCTGTGAAATTCCAGGAATTCTCCCTCTCAAGGGAGTTTTTCTTGGGATTTTTGCTCTGCTGAAAGCGCCTAAAATGATATAAAAATTCATTGATTCTTCTGATAAAAATGCGATTTTTTTTTTTGCTTTTCTCCACATTTTTGCTACGGAAAAAGTGCTTAAACCCCCAAAAACGAATCCCAGCTGTGAAATTTCAGGAATTCTTCCTGGAATTTTGTCCTGCTGAAAGCACTTAAA